AAGACCTGAGTGCTTCTACTTTTACTCAAGTACAATATCTGAGTACTTCTACTTTTACTCTAGTACAAGATCTGTGTGCTTCTACTTTTACTCTAGTACAATATCTGAGTACTTCTACTTTTACTCTAGTACAATATATATATACTTATACCACCTCTGTTTATAGCCTATGAAAAAAACTATTAGAAATAGAAGGCTAAAGCTAACGTTAGCAGATAGTGACAATGTATGCTAGCTAGCTAGCTCAACGATTCCTTAAATAATATTGCCACAGAAAAATATTTCAGTTTACATCACGCTCTGCCGCTCCGACAGGGAGCTCTGCTCTGAACACCTGAACGGCCCGTTCTAACAGCTGTTCACCAGCGGTCCAGTATGTGCCACAGTGACTCCGGACGCGCAGTTAATATTAACGAACGCACCCGTGGGTAATGTAGCTGCTGAAGCTAGACCATCATCTCGGAGCAGCAGCCTTATTATACATCTATAGGCAGAGCCGACAGGCAGGAAGACTCGAGCACACAGCTCGCACTTCATTATAATATATAAAAAAAGAACACCATGCGTTTCATGATGGCACATAACAGCTCACGGCCGCAGATCACTCCGGGTCCCAGACCCCAAAAATATTTTTATTGCAGATCTACATGAATCACACAAACGACCTATTTTGGATTCAAAACGGCGAATTTTGCCGAAAGGTGACAAGTTTGCATCACTGGAAAGGAAGTGTCCTCTTTCTCCAGTCAGTGAAATGAGTCCATGAGCAACAAGAATCTGCAGTCAAGCCAGTAAATCCCTACGTTACAGCAAAAAAGCTACAAGAAACTTTTCTTTCTTTCCATTTTTTTTATTTCTTGGATGTGAGGTATGTTATTTTTTGTAAAAAAGCTAAATTCTCCACAGGAGAAATACAGTTTGATTCTACACTCCTGTCTCCATTTATTAAAATTCACTGTAAGTCATCGATACCTGATTGGTCCCTGTTTTTTTCCTAAGAACTTTTTTATCATTCACTTTATATTTCCTGCGTTGCTACAGTTCAGTTTTGTCTTTTTTCTTCCCTTGTTTCTCTCCATCATCATCGGCACACCTGAATCCCAGGTTGTCAGAGGCAGAGTCCGGAGTATTGCCCATCCTGCAGGAGACACACACACCATCATCAGTCAGAAGGCCATACTAAAAAATGATTTAATTTTAATTTTATAAAACATACCTTGTTGTGATTCGCGCCTTATGATTGGCTGAGCCGTCCAGCGTGTCGATCCAGGAGCCGCCTCGCAGCACAAAATGTGGCTGAGCTGCAGGAAAGGGTGTGGAGGTCCATTCCCAAGTGTTCCCCATCATGTCATACAGCCCTGCCGGAAGAATCCAAATCTGTTTGAACCTTTCTGTCACATCTATTGTTTTAAATGAAAAGACCTCTCTGGGACAATGTAGCACTTTTCATCTTGTATAATCTCAATAAGGTTAATTTAACTGGGACAGTTACCATAACTGTTCTGAGGAGGAAATGCTGTGACAGGAGAGACGCCATGGTAACCGTCCTCTGCCGTGTCTCCGTCTGGAAAGGATCCCTAAAACATAAAGATAATTAAGTTCTTATAAAAAGGCATTTACAAATGTCACAAGCAATTACATAAACATATGTTTTAGGAGAAACCATGACAATATATCTTCAATATCTGTTGGCATTCACTAATTTAAAGAGTATGTTAAACCAAACACACATTTTGCAACACTCTTAGTATTTATGTTAATTACATTTTAGTCAAATCATAAAAAACATGTTTCATTTAATTTAGAAATGTCTTATATTGTTTAAAACTTGTCGCAACTGAAATTGTAGCTCAATAAAGTCACAACTATCTGCAGAATTTAAAGGCAAACCCTCACACATTAACATGCATTATTGTCGTTGGCTGACCTGCCACAGGTTGGTACGGTTGGCCTGGAACTTGTTTCCCCACGGGAAAATCCGACCTGGAACACGAGAGGAAGGAAAGTTTTAACGGGATTGCAAACAATGAAAATATGCTGGTACTGATTGCTGAGGGTCATAAAAACTAGTTTCTCATCAGTAGCTCTTGACTTGTGAAGCTTTAAATCAGTCGGGCTCTGGCTCAAGGATGTCAGTCAAGAGTAGATGCAAACAAAGTGTGAAATAGTAGAATATATAGGGGTGTAGAACAGTTCGGTTTATGTTTTTAAGATACTCTATCAATTCTCAAAAACACACCTGATGTCTACTGTGATAATTGTCCTTATATTAAAGGATGAAATGGCCACTTATTGGTCTCGCTGACGGTAAAGCAATACTATATATTGAATCATAACAACTGTATCATGATACGTATCGCATTGGCAGATTCTCGTGACTACACAGCCCTTGTAGAAAAACATATGGTGGCATGTATATTATTACTTCTTGTCTCTGAGTTTACCTTGCAGCCCCCCTCGTGCAGCCCACTCCCACTCCTCCTCAGTAGGGAGTCTCTTGCTCTTCCAGAGGCAGAACGCCTGAGCATCGTTCCAGCTCACCTGAACCACAGGGAAGCTCAGACGCTCCCGAATGCCTGAACCAGGTCCTGCAGGCTGAACAGTGGGGG